ATATATATATGTGCAAGTATGTTCAACCTTTTTAACTTTTGAAGATTTTGAGACATCGCCCAATGTGTCCTTCGTAAGATCCAGTCTACCAGGTCCTTTGTCGACCACAAAGACCAGAAGAAAGTGGCTGTGAATTTGGACAGTCTAGCCTTCAGCTTTATTTATGCCACTACCCCAGCATATGCCCTGTCACCTGACAATTGTGATAGCACTAAACAGCAGCATAAATAGATCAAAATGTTAATATTATTTATATTATAAATTAACAAAAGTCGTTGAGAGGCAATGCAAGCTTGTTTATGAGGAATTCTGACAAGAATAATATTAAAATCATGTGTATGAAAATGACAAAAGCCCAACAACACAAGTGCTTTAAACTTTTAATTTTTGTACTAATAGGTTTTAATTTAAAACTGTACTCCTGTCTCTCATTTCATCCATGATCACCAGCAAAAACAAAATCCTGGTTGGCCCACAATGCATCTTGGGATAGGGTGGGCTGAGAAGGCTGGACCATCCCTCAAGTCAGGGGAAAAGGAGGATGCATTTGTGGGCCGCAATTTCAGTGTTGCCAATTTAGGTACTTTGTCGCTAAATTTAATGAGTTTTCAGACCCCTCTAGTGCCTTTATTTATTTATTTTTTTACCAAAAAGCAACTAGTGACAAATCTTCATTCAAAATTATATGAACTTTTCGTTCACCTGTTAGTAGCAGGACTTCCATAGTGAAATACGTGGCCTCAGACCAGTTGCATTAACCTCCCTCATCAGCGGGCTGCTCTAAATCTCACCAAATAATCTGCAAACCTCGTTTCCCAACCTGCTTCTGCTTCGCTTCAGATGATAATAATTTGAGCGAGACAGCAGGTGCAGTCAGGCCAGTTGCACACGTAAAAAGGTTATTGTTTGTACCAAAAAAGGCACATTAAAAGCAAATTAGAAAATGCAACTATGCCCATTCTCTGTCACGAATCAATACAAATTAGGATGGTTTTGCACAAAGTCACAATGGTTAACATACGTATTTTTAGAAAACAATTGTTAAAATCTTTCAGCTGCATGAGAAGATTCCAACAAATGTTTGTATGAGCTATCAGATCAGTACCACTCAGTAATGGGAACAACAGCCAGTCGGGTGTTGCACATCCAAATCCCAATTAATTTTTGTAGAATTTGCTCCATGAGAAGGACTTAAGATGCAGAACACAAACACTTCACAGAGTCGTGCTTTATTAGTCCATGATTTGCTACTTCTTTGCTCCTACATATAAATAATAAACTGAAATAAAATTGTGTCTAAGCATGGATGCTTTTTTTATTCTTATTAACATATTCACGCTTTTTTCTTTTTTGCTTTCAGATACATTTTTTTTAATTCTAACATGTTTATCCCTGCAATAAGCTTTTCTTTTGTTTTTATTTGCTGTTTTAGTAATTTTGCGATAATCATTGTTTGTGTTAATCAGCCAGCACATCATTTGGCTTACATTGAGATTTTCTTTCACACACAACCCTGACAATAAATAATAATTGCTAATTTTCCAGTTTTTGCTCATTACCAGTGATGCTGAATATTACAATGGTATAAAAAGGTTTTCCACCCAGTAATATACAGTATATGGATATAATATATTTAGAGTATTTCTAAATTACATTTATTTATTGTTTGTCATGCTTTTCTAGTGTAACAAATTGCTAATTTCTTGTATTTAATTGCGGTAGCTTACTGTTCTCATTTGTTATCTCTTTTGCTTCCCTTCTGAGAAGCAAGCAAAGACAAAATACTTTGTACTAATTAGAAGAATGTATGTTTTGTTTTCTTAAAGGAGTATTGTTTCTCTTTGGGTAATTATTACTTCTCCCAGCGGTCCACTGCTAAAACAGGAGCTTTATGTTGTTATTATTTACTTGTTTGTTTGTTTGTTTGTTTGTTTGTTTGTTTGTTTGTTTGTTTGTTTGTTTGTTTGTTTGTTTGTTTGTTTGTTTGTTTGTTTGTTTGT